GAATAGCAGCGCTAATGTCTACAGTTGCTTGCGTTGTTTTTTTTCGACGACCTTGTTGAAACTTTTTCAGTACCGGCGTCAAATAAAAAAACGAGCATGCTCGCCGTTGTCTACTTACAGTTGATTCGGAGACCGCCCGCCACAGGGGAGGTACTGGAAACAACGTAAAAACAACTAAAAAGCTGCGCTTTTTTTTTTTTTTTCTCCTTTTAGTAGGTGTTTTGAGTACTCCGATCCGAGTTATTGCGCTCGGAACTGAGAAAGCCGCTACTCAAGTCGCACATTGCCGCAGGGTATGCCGAGAGCTTCTTTGCCCCTGTTATCTGTTTCAAGCGTGGTGACTTCATCGTAAGTATCCTTGAACCAACGTAGTGGAGAACTAGGGTCATCTGACCCAACACCTAGAGATAAAACCATCAAATTAAGCGACAGAGCCGGCGGGTGCCGGCGCGCTGGCTAGGCGGCCCGTCCGTAACATCGAATGGAAGTGCTTGTACGATTGTTATTTACGCGTGCATGACGGGGCCTAATTAATAGAGTTGCAGTTTCTTGTCCTCTGGCACTTGACCTTGTTTCGCTTGTCCTGTCTCGTTCTACCTCTCGTGCTTGTCATTTGCGCTTTCCGATTTTGATGGTGTGTAGCCAACTGGCCCAACAGCTAATTGTATTGCAGTTTCTATATACTTAGAAGACTGACGGAAAACTGAATTCTACGGGGTTGTTTTTTTAGGGGAAACTACATTTTTTTTTCTTCATTATATTGCATAGCAAGGAGCGAAAACCATCATGATAAATATTTTAAACAATGGCCTTGCCGCGAATGCTTATATGAACTTTATGAAACCGAAGAAATCGCTTGTCTGCAATAACAAATATTTTAGTTTGAAATGCCTTCAATGATTTTTCCAGTCTTTTCCTTTTAATAATGTGTTTTATTGAAAATAAAGCGCTCCTGAAAGTGTTCTGTACATACCTAGTAAAATACAGATTTATAAATTAGCACTTTGGTGATATCATTTTTAGCAAACTTAATAAATTCTATTCTAGTGGCAAAAAAAATGTAGTAATAATTTTTTAATTAAAAATGGTATTACATAAAACTCAAAAAGTACATAATGAAAAGCCTTACTGTGGTAGACATAGACTTGATTCCTTCGCACCGAAATGAGCTGGAAGCGTTCAGCGTTCGAAAGAGGAAATCGTTTTTTTACCACATTGGATTCCCATGGGCACTATGAATGCGCAATTTAACTGCAACCAATAGGGAGTTTTAGAATAACGTACGCAATTTTAGCGCGCGCTAGCGCTAAGTTTAGCGCTTGTATTAGCGCACGCGACGCAGGAGAGTTTTAGAATAGCGTTTCTCCGCCGCGACGCAAAAGCCCAAGCATCTCGCACTTGCGACGCCACCAAGATACCGTCACAATTTTTATTTCACACACGAAATGATGTAACTTTAGAAGAAAACGAGTTTTTTTATCCAGAGTAGCATTTTAATTTGTTTAAACATGAGAACACGACGCAAGCGGTTGACCGGTCGCGTCCGCTTGCGTCGCCTCGGCAAGAGAGGTCTCGTGTACTGACCTTCGCACATCGTTCCTTCGCCGCGAAATGTTCGCGCGTCGCAAGCATCAAGTTGCGGTGATCGCTGCCAAACCGAGTACAATGTCGTCCCGTATTGAAAATTGCAGTCGCGAGGATGCCGCCGACGTCGCACTCACGACGCCGCCAAAGCAGCCGCCGACATAATCCTGGAAGCCGCCATTTTTTTAACTGTGCTCGTCTTTGCTTTAGCCAACTTCTCATCACAAATCCTCCTTGAAGAAGCGCAAAGACTCTTTGCGTACGCACGCTATTTCCGAGAAATAGCGCGCGCTAAAATTGCGCACGCAAAGCGCGAAACCTGGTTTGCGTTCGGGGCATGCGCAGTGGCGACAACACTATTCTTTGCGTACGCAAGGCTTTAGCGTGCGCTATTCTAAAACTCCCTAATGCTTCTGCAGATGCCCATGGGTGCTAGGATATCCAGGGCATGCACATATGTGTCATATCTGATTTGTATCGAAGTCACTGTTTGCTTTGTAAAATTCTAACAAAACTATTGTGGACATGTAATGCAAGAGTAAATCGGTACAGATTGAGATAAAAAAAAAAACGATTACTTTAAAACAGGCACGTAGCCAGGATTTTGTTTCGGGGGGACCCGCCCATGACAAAATGCTATATGAGGGAGAGGGGGGAGAGGAGGTCTCAGCAAAACGGAAGATTTCGGGGGGGGGGGGGGGCCGAACCCCATGGGCCCCCCCCCCCCCCCCCCCTTGGCTACGTGCCTGCTTTAAAATGCTTTCTCAACTGTGGGGTCCAGGAATAAAAAGTAAAATTGGCACAAAAGTTCTCTTTGTCGTAACTCGTTATACTGGGTGAACACAGAGCAGTATAGTTTTAGTAGGTGGCTCACATGCTAAACGCAGGATGAGAAAAAAATCATTCCCATAGACATGCGACATGTTTTACGGAGGACATTTGTATATGATTATGAACAAACAAAATTATGGTTATGGACAAATAATGTTAAGAATATGTGCATTATACAATGGTCCACACTACACTATATACAAACACTATACGTGTACAAACGCTATACACGGTGTTTTTGTTGTTTCTTTAGCTGCACCGAATTTTTAAATAAAGGGGGGGGGGGGTGAGTTCTACGAATGCGGTTTTCACTCCGTGTTTATGTGGCTCGCGGACATTACATGGTAATATAACCATCACTATTATCAAACTAGTTAACTACAATTCGGTAATTAACTTTTTAATAAATAATTAGGATATATGTTTATATTACAAACTTTTATGCGGTCGTATGCCAAGACTGTTCCATTTTGTAAAATTCACGTAACCAGCCCGTGTTCCGAGATGCCTGCCCCCAAATTTTTTACCTATCAGACTTCTTTTCCACTCAATCCGGCAAACTCGCGAAACTGGGAACTATAGCCGAAACTCGCTACATTAGACCGATAAAAGTGCGAAATCGGAGGACGAACATCGCGGAACACGGGCTGGTCACATGAATTCCACAATACGAAGTTGTCTGGGCGTACGATCGCCTCAAGGATTGTAACATAAACATATATCCTAATCACAGTAAATAAAAGGTTAATTAAAGAACTGTAGTTAATTAGCGTAATAATAGTGATGCTATTCCCATCTAATGAACTCCGAGCCATGTGAATATAGAGTGAAAACCGCAATAAAAAAACTTCTTACCCATTATTATAAAAATTTGGTGCAGCTAAAGAAAACATCCTGTAGTAGTACAGAAAATATACATATATGATTGTGGACAGACAGAATGAAAGAATATGTGCACAGTATGATTATCTACATTACACTATATACAAGCATTAGTGTATCTCCGGGCGTGGATTATAATCCCTTCTTGCCTCGTGATTGGTTCCTCAGATTTCTTATCGGCTAATTCTGCAATCCGTTTGGCGGTAGAGCAAATAAAAAAACCTCGGGATTCGCCACACCCTGCGTTTTCTAAGCCATCAGTCAGTCACTATAAAAAGCCCGGAGATGCCGCTGGCGACTCGTTTGAATTCGAAAAGGGTCGTAACTCTCCTTGCACATCGCAGTACCAACGTCTTGCGGCCTTCCAATTTACGATTCCGTGCGACGACAACACCCAGAGCCGTCTTCTTTCGCAAGTTTCTACTTCTATACGTGCTCGGCTATTTCCGGAACCTCAAGTCGGCCATGGACTTACTAGTTCGGAAAGGCAATAAAAACAAAATCGCAGATTGAAACCAGCAGCGTCGAAATGACATCTGGGCACTCGTAGAGTATGTATGGTTTTTGTCGGCGTAGATGGCTTAAATTTAACCACGATAATTTATCCCCTTGCCACCTCAGTGTCGTAGACCGACGGCGTGCGGGTTCTTGGAAGTAGAAAGCTTGGTTGCCAGAATAGGGGTCATGCATCAAGGCGATGTTTTAGGTGAATCCACGAATCTCTAGGTTCCCCTCGCCTCCTCCCGGATCATCCTGTCACCATGTTTTATGGACGACTCTGTTTACGCTCAGTCTGGTAATACCCATATATGGTATTCCGCAAGGCGAAACATTCTAACATTAAACTATCAGCACATGGCCTAACACATAATCTCAGGTGATAACGTGTCTCGTTGACAGGAGATGATTTCTCACATTCGGCAACGTTTCTATAACATTACAAATCACTTTTTTTATTACTAGACTAGTCTGGTTCCTACAAACACGTCTTTAGAAGGATTTATGAAGGATGACTCTAAATGAAATAGTGGAATTATTAGAGATCGAGCGGTCAAATTGTTTCTAAGGAACAGAGTGCTCATCACCGTTTGAGGCAGAAGAAGTTCCGTCAGCAAGATATTATATTTAGTTTGAGGTTTTGTAAAAGGTCAGTCCTGACTTTTTTTCTATTCCTCTTAGACGGTTCATCGTAAAAACGTAAGTTATGCGATAGAGCTAGTGAGTTGAGTATTTCAAGGGATGACACAAAAAGAGGCTATAAATATCGCAAATAAAAAAAAGTCTCACGACGCAAAACAAATTCGGACCATCGCTTCGTTGAGACCCGAAGCTGTAACAGATGACAAATAGTTGTTCACTCTAAGACAGCTTGTCTGACAGTCATTGTCCCACAAACGTTTTGAGCGACTATTGTTAACAATGGCTTTACACTGGCCCCAACCCACCCGTTATGTGCTCCAACACGTCTCTTTACCCAACGCACTCGCACAATAAAAAAAAAAAGTACCATTGCCTCTAACCAAGAACGTCAGAATAAATGAAGATTTCCCGATAAGGTGAAAACGCTATTTAAAAAAAAAAAACTTGAGTAAACAAATCTTTGCAACTATTTGGAGCCAAAATAAACGAACCCCTTTTTGGTAGCTCAGGCAAGTTATTGAAGTTCTATCACTGTAAATTATACGATAAGTTAAAGTCGTACAACAACTAAAAATCGCTTTATTGTTGGAATATTATGAGAAAAAAAAGTATTCGGATTGTTGGTACCACTATAGTGCCAAAAATGAACTGTCTGGACTTTTTCCTGTTATAAATATTATTCGTTGCTTTCCATGGCCAGTCTGGATGCAACCTCCGACTTGAGCGCTTGTCTTAAAATCTTGCAACTGTCCGACTTGGGCAGCGAGTCCATGAAAATAACTCCGCCATAAAGATGTTTGTAGACTGCTGTTTGACCTGAAAATAGCAAAGCGACAAGAAAACATTTTTTTGTACTTCATGCTCAAACAACGGATTTTGAACATCCACCAGTTACTGGCTACTAGTCTAAAATCCGTGCTGCCATATTAACACCAGCTTACCATCTGGAATTTCCTTTTACCACAAAAAGTTCCACTTCAATGTAAAGGGTAGTGCGCATAACCAAGGATTGTACGTCACCGATGTCATGCAATATAATGGTTGAGCACTCAGCAATTGATTAGCCAAAAGGGCATGGTTTACTGGATTTTATCTACTGTTTTATTTCTGTTTTCGACAATGTTTTCGGAGTATCGTTTTATTCTGTGCATATTTTTTAAATATTTTTGTGGCCTTTAAAGTTTGAAAAATCTTATCTGCAATGACCTTCTTCATAGTGTATTGAGAGAAACTATAAACCACTTCTTTTCTTTAAGGTGGTCACACAAAATACTCGGGTATATATTACTTCGTAAATGTATTCGCTACAATTACGACTACTTCGCTCAACTTGCATGTAATCACAGAAGTATCATAGCGCACAAGAGACAATGCCTTAAAATTGCTCATTAGTTTCAAAATGTAACGCCATTAGTTCACAATTACATTCCTATCAAAGCTACCCGATTTCAATTATGTTCATGTTGCGGCATTTTTTGCGCTTGCATCATTCCCTATATTTCATTTAAAGGGCAAATCGGATCGAAAACAACCAAAATCGATGACTCGTATCCCTTTAACGGCACGAAATGGGATCAAAGCCGAAATATACGTCAAAATGAGGTAGCGTAGTCCACTAAAACCTATTTTAAAGATGCGAGCAGCTGATTTTAGCGGGCTGCAAGCGGGTTACCTTTTAGTCAAGTAACACTGGCGCAGCACGCTCGTGACGTCACGTCACGGCCGTACGGCTGATGATCAGTGTCGATCATCATACATCTAGCAGATAGTTTCCGTTTTTTCGTAGACGCCCGAAACCAAATTTGAGCCGCGATATTTGTAAAACTACACAAAATATCGAGAGAAAAAAATTATACCTTGTAATTCAGGGATATTGCTTTAGCTGTAAACAGTCGTAATCCAAAATCAAAAATATGAACCGGGATTGCCCTTTAACCGTTGAATTAAATGTACAGCTTGCTACATTCGAAACATACAGTGCCATCGTTTTCCCTACCTCACAATGTTATAAAAGAGTAGAGTTCTGGGCATTATACGTGTTAGCTGTTCTATTACCTAGTAACGCGGTCAAGATCGCTGGTGTTTTCTTGTTGTCACAACAGATCAAAGCACAAGTCTGTTGCGGGTAGCCCTGGGCTAGCCACACGTGACATGGGAAGAAGCAGCTGACAACCGTGAGACCCAAAACACCAGTGATCTTCATATCGGCCTTATGCACTCTTAGAAAAAAGGGTCAGTATAGTCCTCCCTAAAGGGAGGAACGCTCTTGACACATATGTTCCTTCAGCAAGGGAGAAACTTTCGTCCCTTAAGCAGGGGAGGAAAAGTTCCTCCGTCGACTGCATCTCATTATGGCGGCCACGAATCGAGCAAATCGAGCTCGGTAAGGCTTAACGAGAACACTAAGTCTATTGCACGAAGCGAGAGGAGCAGGAAATAAAAACGTAACACGAGCTTTCCGCGAACTGTATTTATTTCCGAAGTTTCTTTACCCCTGCAGGTAAAGAAACTTACGTTTCGAAAGCATGCAGTCACTCAGTCCTCTCATCGTCAGCACTGCGATGTTCAACGGAGACAACCGGCACTCAGTTCGCGCACTTTATGTCCTACCTTTGCTATTCCTCGAGCCACAATTCTTTCGTCAACCGTAGCGTCAACCGCACATCACGGAGGAGTGAAAATCATTCGCCCGCAAAACCAAAAGCCGCTCTCAAAAAAAAGCAAATCCGAAGCAACCTCTTGGCTTATCTCAGCACGGTAACACGAAATTATGGCGTAGCCGCGTAGCGTAAAAGGATGTTAAATCGCTTGCCACCAGATGGCAGGGTCAAGCAGAGTAATCGCACGTAGCTAGGCTAGGTGGCGCTAGGTACCGCCCAATTCATGTTTTACAAAAAAAATATTTTTATTTTCTTACGCCACAATTGCGTTTCCTTTTCTTCGGAATCTCTAACACATGTAGACACGTTGCGCACACTACAAACATCAGGTCAACATATATTGAACGCATACACAGGCATCGCACATACAAACATCAATACAACAGCACACTACCCCGATCACTACTAGCGAGCCCTGCGTTTCCGTCTTTTATAGTGGTCGTTTTGAACGTGCGGAATTTTTCGGTGACTCCCTAAGCACAAAAAAATATTCCGAACATGTTCATTTTTTTCCAGCAATGTCATACATCTGAGGCTATTCTTAATGGCTCAGGGGATGAATCTCTTATTAAAAAGAAGACGCTCAATCATGCCATAATTATTTGAAAGCCAATAAATCGAGCCGCTCCAATGTGGTTCCAAGCCATGAGTTTGTTTTCCCGCATGGCCCTTCGTAGCCAGTATTTATATTGTAGTGTTCGTTTTTCTATGTGTGCTGTTCGCGCAAAGCTGCAATTGCCGTCTTGAATTAATCTCTGTAGAGCGGATATCCACTCAGCTGGAAGTGATGCTTCACGGGCACAGAAATCGCTTTTCGATCAACTTGAATGCAGTCAAAGCCGCGACTTCCGACAACTGTTAAGTGTACGGAGCTACGCCGTTGCGAGCTCGAAAACTTCTAGCGCTCATCCCAGCGCGCCACTTAGAGGGCAGTTTCTACAGGAACCGTAATATATTTAAACAGTAAAATAAAGGATAGCGTTTTTTTTTTCATTTTGCCTGTCTTTTTTTTTTATGCTAAACTTCCATTATAAATATACGTACTTTCCGTCATACTTTCGTAGTGTTGTCTTTTCCCCAGAGCGCAATCGCTCTCGGGGACCAACAGTCACATTGGCCACTGTACGATAGGAGCTTACCGTTCAGACCAGCGTTCCAACATGACTATCCACACGTCGATCGACTGCACCTAATCCCTCAAGTGGTTTTAAACTCTTTAATGTAAAGCGGAATGTCATCCTGCGACACCCCGGCCCCTCCGATAACGGCCCGACCAGCGGCATCAATGCCCGACAGTTTACGTCATCTCATCTTGTTGTTACACCACTGATACGCGAACACACGGTCACATCGGCGATAATTCCAGTCTTCTGTTCACAACCCACAACACTGCCATCACGATGTCGCTGACACGAAGAAATACAGAACCACGTTGACGATGTTGCTGACACGCAGAAGAATCACGTTGAACGCCGGTTGGCACTCGGCACGGAAGGCACCCAGGCAGCCGGCAGGAAAACCTGCCTTCCTTGGACGCAGTTCCCGCGATTTCCATAACGTCGAAAACGTCGACACAGTTCCTCGTGGTTTCGCTGCTGTAGTTCCGCGTGTGTCCCGCAAATTGGAGACGGCCGTCTTACCCAGTGTATGTAGCACTGCTGGCACTGCTCCGGAACTTCGCTGTTTCTAGCGGCTTCGTTAGCTCATTTGATAAAATTAGTGGTAAAAACGTAAATGCAACCGAAATGTTCTGCACGTTTGGACTAGAAGACGGAATTACAGGCGGCCTTCGCTGCCGCTGAAGCTCAATCAACTCAACATTAATTTATTAAACAACGTGCGCGATGTGCTCAAAAAACGAAACCGAAAGAAGATGGGTCGGGAGGGCGAAAACTTTCTCCGGTCTGCCTGGAGGAGGAAAACGTCTCGGAGAATAATAAGGACTTTAATTTTCCTTTCATCGGTCTGGGTTTGTTTATGTGTGTTTTGGTAAACAAAAATAAAAAAAAAACTTAAAACACTTTCCTGGGGATCGAACCGTTGACCACTTGGTCAGTAGCGCGATGTTCTACCCCTGCGCCAACTAAACAAGGAGGAACTCGCCCTCCTCCTTTCATCTGAACTGCCGTTCCTCCCTTCTCTGGGCAACTTGTCCGCAACAAGGAGGAACAGTCGCTTTTGCTACCTTTCTCCTCCCTTTTTTCTTAGAGTGTGGCGACCCACACAAGCCATAGAATGTCCCCGTACGCGCCCCTGGCCCGCGATGCCTTCAGTGTCGCACGACACGTTGTCCTGCGTCACGCCCCGTGAGCGCATGCACTCGCTACATCCCGCTACATCCACAAATTCTCGCGAGGCCAATTGGGACCCATTATCAGAGACCACTACATCTTGGATGCCAAAGCGAGCGAACGAACTCTTCAGCGCTGCGTGACGCCTATGGACCATGCGGAGGTCAGGCTCACCGCTTCGGGGAAACGGGAGTAATAATCCACGATGGGGACATAGTGCCTCCCAAACAGTTCAAACAAGTCGATGCCGACTCGTTACCAAAGGCCCTTTGATGTGGATGTGCAGAGGAGAGGTTCAGAGCGCTGCAGTCTGGTTTGCCCACACCGCTCGCATCCCAAGACAAGCTGCTCAATCTCGCTGTTCACGGTGTGCCGGCACACTGCGTCTCGGGCACGCGCCTTGCACCGCCCGATGCCTTGATGGCCTTCGTGGATGAGCTGGAGTATGTCATTTCAAAGGCCTTGTGGAATGATGATGCAGCGATCCTTCAGAACTAGACCATCGCAGACAGTGACACTGCCACGCATCTTCCAGTAGTCACGCAGATGAATGGGATCCTTTGAACTCTCCTCTGGCCACTCTCGCACAGCCGCGAATCAACACTGCGCAGACACCTCCTTGCGCCTAATGTCGGCGAAGACTGTCTGGTCAAGGCGACGTAAAATCTCCGAATTCCTTCACGACCTCACTGACGAAAAGTTCCACTGCATAGAGTTTTGTACCTTGGTGCTGTCTGGCTGCGGCCTCCAAGGGTGCACTAGAAAGGGTGTCCGCAGTTGCAACAAGCTTGTTTGGGACGTAGAGTATCTGTTACTGGTATTGAATGAGACGCATGCGCAGACGCTGGATGCGTGGAGAGATCAG